GTGAGGGAAAGGTTCCAAGGGAGGAAACCGCATCTCAAACCAGGATAGGAATCTATCCAAAAAGTTGGTGTGCTTGGAAGCTACCCATTGGAGTATAGGAGAATGCTGCCCACATGGAGGTGGAATGCATCACAGGCCACTGAAGAAGCATGCTGAGAGAAGCCACATACCAGGACCAGGGAGAAAAGCCTGTTCCTCCTCCATTCAGGTTACATCTAGTGTCTTTTCATTTGAACTTGAAGGACTCCCTTTAGCATTTATTGTAATGCACGTCTAGTGGTAACAAACTTTCTCCATTTTTTGTTTATCTGGGCATGTCTTAATTTCCACCTTGATTTTTGAAGGAGCAGTTATATGGTTATAGAATTCTTGGTTGACAGTTCTGCTCTTAGGCACTTTAAATATGTAAGCATACTTCTTTTTGGCCTTCAACGTTTCTGGTGAGAAATTGGCTAATAATCTTGTTGAAGATCCCTTGTATGGGATGTGTCGCTTTTCTCTTGGTGCTTTCAAGGTTCTCTCTTTGTCTTTTGGCAGTTTAATTATAATGTGTCTTAGTATGGGTCCTTGTATCCTACTTGGAATTTCTCAAGCTTCTTGGATTTGTAGAGTCACATCTTTCTTCACATTTGGAAAGTTTCAGCCATTATTTCTTCAAATAATCTCTAACCCCTTTCTCTCTTTTTTTCTTCTGAGACTTGCATAGTGCATATATCGATCCACTTGATGGTGTCCCACAGGTTATCTCTGCTTGCTTTCCTACATTTTTTTTCTTTTTACTTCTCAGACTCAGCAATTTCAATTGTCCTGTATTCAAGTTGCCAATTCCTTCTTCTGCCTGCTAAAATCTGCCCTGAACTGGTGGATTTTTCATTTCAGTTCTTATACTTTCAATTCCAAAATTTATCTTTGTTTCCTTAATTTCCATATCTTTGTTGATATTCCCATTTTGTTTACAGATTGTCTTCCTGACTCTATCTGTGCCTTCATTTGGTTCCTGAGCATTTTTAAGACAGTTGTTTTAAAGTATTTGTCTAGTAAGGCCAACATCTGGATTTCCTCAGGGACAGGTTCTGCCAATATATTTTGTTCTTTTGAATGAACCATACTTTCCTGTTTCTTTGTATGCCTTGTGATGTTTTCATTAAAAACTAGACATTCAAATCTTAGAATGTGGTAACTCTAGAAATAGGTTCTACCCCTTCTCCAGGGTGTTTTGTTTTATGATTTAGTGGTATCCCTGGATCAGGAATCAACCTGAAGTGAAAGCTTAAGGTCTTATCGGGTCTTGTTTGAGCCTGTATCTTTTCCTAGCAATTTCTGGTGGCTTTCTAAGTTCTCCTAGATGAAGTTGTTTTTAAATGTCTTTGTGCTTAAATTTCTGGCTCCTAAAAGGAAAAAGGAGAGAAATCCCCTTGAAATCTCTTGGAAGCCACTTCACCTAGTGGAGGTTACAACAATGTCAGCCATCTTCTGCATCTGCACCTTAACAACTGAAAGTGGCAATCAGCAGTCAGAACACAGAAATCAGATATTTGGAAGATACGGTCCTTATTGCTCACCCTGACTCCAGAAAGTTGCACCAGGAGCACAGACATAGCTGCCTGCCTTGGGGTGAAGGATGGGCAGTAACAGCAAAATTAACTGAAATTGACCTGGCTTTCCCCTGGAAGCTGCAAGCTTTCAAGTAGACTGCAGAGTTTCACAATAGTTTCTTCAGATAGTTTTTGCCAGTATGATTATTGTCTGGATGGAGAAATGGATTCCTGGTGCTTCCTCCTCAACTCCTTCCCTGACATCATTCCCTCTGTCGGTCATTTTAAGATAAGCTCTGATAATATAGTTCAACTCAGTTTAACTACTACTTATTGAAGACCATCCTGTGCAATGCTGTCTGCTGAGAACACAGAACCCAGATATTTGGAAGATAAGATCCTTCCAAATAAGAGGAACAGAAGGAAGACAGCTCTCCATTTCATAAGGTTGGTGGAAAGCAACATAGCAGAAACCCAAACAAGATTTGGAAATGCTCTAGGTAGGAAGGAAAAATAGGGTGGAGGTGACCTCAAAGATGGACAGAAGGTTAGGAGGTGGGAAGTGGGGATTACGGGGTCTGTGAGCTAGATAAGGGGCCACATAGAGACTGCCTGTTGGAGAAGTTGTCAGGGAGAAGCAGCAGCATAAGCAGATCTGGAGGGAGGTGTGCCAAGGCACATGTCATATCCCATGGGCTCCACCTCCAGACCCACTTTCTTCTGGATCCATTTCTCTTACATCATATCACATCACATCTCCTCTCCACCTCCTCACTGTCAGGGGTAAAGGTAATTGTTGTATGTGGGTTAGGCAGATGTAAAACTGGAGAAATCAGCTACTGGAAAGGGAGGAAACTGAAGCGTTAAAGGAAACTCAATAACAACTTAGGAAGTTAATTACATGTTGTTCACCAATCGCAGTCTGTACTCAAGTGTGTAGGAAATGTAGCTTCCTTTATTCTTCTACAAATCCACCTAATTTGTATTTTTATACTCCCTTCCAGTCCATGTTGTGTTCCTCATGACTTCAGTGTCTGCCCTGCTTTCTCTGAGTCTGCATCTAAGTTCCGTGAGGAGCATCTGGTCCCTATGTTGTCTGGTTCCTTAGTTTCCTGGGGCTGCCATAACAAAGGACCCCCAACCAGGTGACTTCAACAACTGAAAGTTATTGTTGTACGATCCTGGAGGCTGGAAGTCCAAATCAGGGTGTCGACAGGGTTGGTTTCTCCTGAGCAATGTGAGGGAGAATCTGTTCCAGGCCTCTCTCCCAGCTTCTGGTGGCTTGCTGGCAATCTTTGGAGTATAGAAGGATTATCCCAGTCTCTGCTTTCATCTTCTTATGGTGTTCTCCCTTTGTGTGTGTGTGCGCGTGTGTGTGTGTGTGTGTGTGTGTGTGTGTGTGTGTGTTTATCTCCAGATGTCGTCTTTTTATAAGGACACTTCATATTGGATTAGGGGCTCAACCTACTCTAGTATAGCCTCATTTTAACTAATTTTATCTGTGTCCTGTTGGCCCTATTTCCAAATCCGGTTGCACTCTGAGGCACCAGAGGTTAGGACCTCTGCGGATGTTTTGTGGGCCTAGTTCAGCCTGAAACATTGTGCCACGCTGCATCTGCTGCCTCTCTTGTTCCTTCTTTGGCGCCCGCTCGTGGGGACTCACTTATTGCCAGGGTGATGTTTTTCCTGCTGATACATGTAGCTCTTGGGGGCCAGCCTCTCTCTGCTCCTTCCACACTGTGCTTCGTGGCACAGGATTTGACTCATTCTGTCTGCCAGTGGTACCTGGGCCAGGGTTCCTGGGGAGGTTGTCTGAGGCCCCTTCTACCTAAACGCACCAAGCAATCATTTCTCTGAAACTGATGCCTCCCTTGCTTTCTAGACAGGAAGCAGAACACAAGGCCCCTCTTTTCTCAGATTCCATAAACCTTCTAGAGGTTTAGCTGTTGCCTAACTTGAAGACCAGCAGAGCTCAGGGCCCCACTATGGGGCCACCAGTAGGTTTAATCTCTCTAGATCTCTTCTTCTCCTGGGGAAGGGAACTGTTTTCTGGTGTGTGTGAGGTAGACAGAAGTATGCAAGGGGCCTTTCTCATCAGGATATTTTCTCCAAGACATCTGTGTAGACCAGGAGCTGGCAAACTTAAGGCCCATGGGCCAAATCTGGCTTACCACCAGGTGTTTAATAAAGTTTTATTGGGACACAGCCTTGCCTGTTCTTTTACATGTTATCTCTAGCGGCTTTTGTGCTATAGTGGCAGTTGAGTGATTGGAGACTGTATGACCCACAAAACCAAAAATATTCACTATCTGGCCCTTCACAGAAACAGCTTTTCAACCCCTGGTGTAGACCTTTATGACACAAAAGCCCAAAGGCTTCTGCCCTCTTCTGCTGTTATATCTCTCCCCTAAAGCAACAATCGCAGGGTGGCCTTGCTCTCTGAACATGAAAAATGACAAAGGAAGAAAAAGAAATACACAACATGAAATGAATAATGTGTCGAGATGACATTTGGCCAACAGGTGTGTGTGATTTGTGGAAATTCATTGGGCAGGACAGTTTGGACGTGTGCCCTTTTCTTTCTTTCGTAGGCTGAATTTCAATAAAAAGTGTTGGGGGTGGGAGTGGATAAGAAATCTTATTCCATCATGATGACCTTGGCATCATGGAAATGAATGGAACCAGTGAGGTTGCCCAGGCCTGAGTCCTCCAAGGACACCCTGGGGCCTTGCAGAAGCACAGGGCAGAGCCATGCTTTGGCCAGCCAGGCCCTCACACGTGTGGACTTGGCCAGTGAACACAGCCTGGGTCTCCAGAATGGCTTAAAACCCCAGCCTTGGCACAGAGCATCTAGGACCCAAGACCACAGCATTGACCATGTGTGGTCTCACACCTGCCTGGGCAAAGGTAGTGCAGCCCGGATCTAACTGGTCTCCACTCGAAGCCCATGAGCAGGTGAACTCCTTGTTCTTATTCTTTTCATTATAAAGTAAACGAGCTATGTATTTACTCATCCTGAAACTTAACCTCCAGAGTATACCTGGGGGCCATTTACAGGTCTTCATGTCAGAGAAGACCCCTGCAGAACACACACACACACACACACACACACACACACACACTCCAAAAATGTCCTTTGGGTTTTCAGTGTTACCCATGGCCAAATTTTAAGTTCAGATCAGATGAAGGACGCAATGGGTGGATCTTGCTGAACTGATACTCACTGCCTTCTCTTTCCATATGACCTTGATTTGCAGTTCTCAGATGCACCTTTCAGAGGGTTCACTTAAACATGCCGGCAATATGGGTCTGGGATTGTGGTCATTTGGTCTGTAACAGCAGAGGGGGGTGGCTTTGGAAACCTTGCCCTGCCCTCCCCCGCTCCTGGCGAGAGAGACAGAAACACCGCTCTCCTGCTCTTTAGTCGCACCATCTTGTTAATGCAGACCTTCGTCTTCCTTCTAGCCCTGGGCCTGGAGGCACACACTGCCTGGGTGCCAGTGTGGAACACGCAGTCTGTGAGAACCTGCCCTGCCCCAAGGGTCTGCCCAGCTTCCGGGACCAGCAGTGCCAGGCGCATGACCGGCTGAGCACCAAGAAGAAAGGCCTGCTGACAGCTGTGGTGGTTGATGGTAAAGGCATATGGCATGTCCTTGCGTGGCAACCTCCTGTCCTCCCCGAGGATCATACAAACCACCTAGGGAAGCCGGGGAGCATCCCTTTCCCAAACCAACCCAACAAGACACTCCAGTCCTCTGCCCAAGTTAGCTGCAGCCCAACTTTGTAAGTTGTGGGGTTGACCTTGAATGACCCAACTCTCTGAGATGTTCCAACTGCAGCTGTTGAAGCAGGCAGCAGGCCAGGTGCATCCTGCAACCCCATTTGTAGCGAGGAGGCTGTGCTGGCATCCTGCCCCTGGCGCCATGTGTAGAGGGACCCAGGATAAGCTGAGGAGACCGAGGCTTTACAGGAGCATCCCAGTGTGTTGGTGTGGCTGCTGTCTGGCTTTCCATTGCGGATGCTTCCCTGTATTGCTTCTCTTGGTTTATTTTGTATTGGCTCTTAATCCTTGGCTAGGATGTTGGGGGACATTTTGAGAATAGTTTACAACTTGGGAAAGATGATAATAAGCACAGGTCACATTTTCTTTCCAAGAGCTTTCTCCTGAATCAAGAGGCTCTGCCCCATTGGGCCACTGCCAGCATTTCCAGTAGCTGATGAAGTTCTAGGTGGTGTGTCATGTATACATTTGTAATGTCTGCTTAATTAATGTCCTTAATAGATAAGGACACCCCAGGGCCCGCTTCAGGGTTGTTGTTTTTTTTTTTCTTTTTTCACCTAAAACTGTTCTTCTTTAGGAAACAAGACTTTGTGTTATAATGATGACATATGAGCCCGTTTATCGGTATGTCATGTACAAGACACAAGTTAGCTCTACCTACATTGTCTCGTTTAATACGCAAAAAAAGCTGTGCAGAAGATCAGAGGGAGTGAGGTTACAGGACTCCTCTCAGCGCCTGCAGCTGACAAGAGGCCAGGGCGGGAGCTGACCCCAGTTCCAAAGCGGCTGACTCACAGAAAATAGGCAGCTATCGTCTGGCTTCCCACACTTGAAGAAGACAGACAGCATGACTTCATGGGTGTGGGGTGAGGGAGCTTGAAGAAGAACTCAAGAAACTGGGCCCGATTTTTAGACAGCCTCAAAAATGTTTTGCAGAAGAATGACGTTCGGATGCCAGGTCTTTTGTTTCTTCCCTGTGATGGGAAGAGCCTTTGAAATCTGCATTCGGTGGTCTGCGATTGCAAGTTCAAGTGTGCATAGCTGTGTGAAGGTAGGCCCAGGCATCTCTGGAATAGCAGCCTCAGATCTGCAGCTTTTTGTCTAACAGCCTGACCCATCCTCTTTGAGCTGACTCGTAAAGCAATATGTGATGCTCTAAACTGTAGCAGATAACACCAGCCCACTCAAATGAGGACTCATTTAAAAGTATTGGGGAGCCCCTGTCATTCTTTTTTAAAAAGACCACCACCTTCAGGGACTGTGTAACGTGGCTGTGCCATCAGCTCGCCAGCAGAATTCAAGAGAAACATGGCCTTTGCACACTGAACTTTCCCTGCAGATGAGGGAGAGAGGAGACCTGCCCTCCTAAAAAGAATGAGTGTGACTAGAGCCATGCACTTGCACGTGGACCTTTGCCCCTCTCTGCCTGGCCATGAATCAGATGCAGGAGGTGGCAGGAGGCAGCAGGAGAGTTCCCGCTGTGTCAGGCACACCCAGACCCCTAATTGGAAGCGAGAGAGCTGCCATTTGGTTCTCATGAGAAGCAGCCTTGAATCCGAACCTTCAGCTTTCCCCATCATGCCAGATAAAGATGCTTTTAGACCTCTTTACTGTCCGCTCCCACTTTGCAAGAGCAAGAAGAGGTCAGGTCTGGGACAGATTCGCGCTCTTCAAATTTCAGCTCAACTTTGTGCACCAAGTTGTTCTTTCCCTGGTTGCCTGCTTCAGTTTTCAATGCTCCTGTCTCATTTATTCAACACAGAAATCCACTTAAATGTCTGTTTTTCCACAGTTTTCTCCAAGTCCAGATTAAACTTCTGTTTTCCTTCTGACCGCTTTTGGATGGCTGGACTCTCTGGTTGCCTTATCACCACAGTGGCTGGGACTTCAGTCTGCCCAGATCCTCCACCCAGGAAGCCTTGCGGTGTGGCTCTTTGGGGAGCTGCTTGGATTGGGAATATGACCTTTCACCCACTTACTTTCTGTTTCTCTCTGCCTAAGTCATAAGTTATTGTCACTAGAGTGCCACCGCCTTTGATCTGAAAAGAGCAGCCCTGTTTGATAAGGACAGCTAACAGGCAGTAAGTATCTCGCGTTTGAAGGAGAGACCCCACGCTCGGGGCTTTGCACAGGTAGCTCGACACGTCCTCCTCTGGGTTAGAATTGCCCTGACTTCTTCCATCTGCCGTTGCGTTTCTCTCTCAAATACAAACAGAAGCCAGCACTTTTAAAAGGAGCATTTCCTAAAGTGTAAAAACAAAATAATAAAGGGCCAGTTTAGAAGGCAGGAGGAGAATATGGATTATAGGTGTTCCTCTGAAAACTCCATGTATAAAAGGCACAGTTCTAGCTGAGCCATGATAGGAACGATTCCTGCGGTTGGGCTCTGGGCTCTTCTGAAGCCCATTATGACTGCCCTATTCATAGCAGTGCTATCGCTGCGGAATTCTTTGGCGAGTGACGCACAGTTCAAGAGAAGGGAAGCTAAATTTTTTTCTTTTTTTTCTCTCCCTTTTTTAAAAAGAAAAAGGAATTCTTGCAGAGGTAGCTTTTCCAAGCGAGGATTCGGGACCACAAATCCATCCCACCTCCAAAAGAAGACAAAGACCCTCCTTAGAAAATATTTCTAAGTGGAAAAGCCTTTAGACAGAAACCCATTGAGATGGCCCACTGCCAAACCCACCCTGTTTCTGCTTTTCCCGTGGAATCTCATTGAAGTGGAAACCTTCAAGAGTTCAGTCCTCCCTGCCCAGGCCAGCAGGCCGCGGGCCCACTGAAGTGTCGGAGAGCTTGGCAAAGCCTGCGTCTGGACGTGGCTGTGCGTTCCCAGCTCCTCCTGCCTGGCACAGCAGAACCCCCCAGGTCTGAGCCGCTGTGGGGATGAAGGGCGTGATGGTTAGGACTCTCTGACTCCAGCTCCGCCAAACCAGCTGGGGCTGCTTAATGAAAAGGAGGGAAGCTGTTGCAAAGCTGAAGATGTCAGGACCTTAGCTCAGTGGTCTCTGCAGCTTGTGTTTGGCAGTCACACCCCCATGCACCCACTGCACTGGCTTTCTCAGAACTTGTCCACGTGCAAGCTGGCAGGGTAGCCCACGGCACCTCTTATGTAAATCCACATCCCGTATCCACATCCTTTTCGGCCACATACATTTCAGGTTGCAGAGCATTTTATGTGTTCAAAAGGTAATAATGGTGCATCAACCAAATATTTGTATCACTGGTGGGCTCCAGGAAAGCACCCCATAGTCAGACACGTGGGTCTGTCCACCAGGTAACCTCATTAAGGGGGATGCTAACACTACCAAGAGCTCACATCAGTCCAGGCTGGTTTTGCTGCCAAATGTGTGTGTCACAAATGGAAGACAACACTTACAGTTTTCGGAGCTTTTTGGATTTCTCAATTACATATAAAGGAGTGTAGCCTTCTTTGGGATCCATCAAGCATGAGCAGACATGACTTCTCTGCCTCTGAATTTCAGTACTGAGTTCCCAGGAAAGAGACAAGGATTAGGCCAGCTATGGACAGGCACTCACTGCTGGTCAAATCTACAGAGGCCTGTCTGCCAGGGCCTGATGAGAGGGCCGGGGTGGGCAGCTTTGGGAACAGGAGTCTAAGTAGCCCCTTCAGCATGTGTCCCCCACAGAGGACCAGGGAGAACTTGGATGAATGCTGTGATGAACTCAAAATAAAGCAGTGTCTGCACCATACTAAGACCTTCTAACTGCTGGCCTAGAGAGAGAGAGAGAACAGTGAGACTACTGAGAGCCACGAGTGTCTTATTCACTGCGGAGGAATGTTTCAAACCTCCAGCGGGCACATGTGACCATGTGGCTCCCAAGCTTCTGAGCCCATCTTCCCTGCCCTGCCTGTGACCTCCTCCAGCCAAGTAGAAGTCCTAATGCCAGGCAGGCCAGCAGGAAGCCAGACTGGCTCCAGGCTTTGCAGCATCAGTCAGAATTCCATCTGAGCACACACCAGCCATGCAGATGGCACGTTCCAAACTTCCTTCCTTCAAGTGTGTGGTTGTATAACTTTTAAGAAAATGTGATCTCCTTCTGTACTACTGGGAACGTAAGAGTGTTGATGCTGTGCCCAAAGCTGAATCCCACCACCTCATGTTATTTATTGGGGCCTTATTCCTGGAGATTAATCTCCCACCTAAGGCAGCCTGGAGGGAAATAGAGAATTTTGAGGAATTCGGAGCCTCCTCCTCACATTTTAAGAACCTTATCCTTTGGGAGATCATGCCATATAGTTTGCTAGAGGTGTGGGTACCCTGAATTCCAAGCAGAGGCCTCAAGGAGAAGATGGACAAATGGAGAGTTCTGATTGAGCAGGGAAAGGAAGCCCCACCTCTAGACTCTGTTCTGGAGCCTGAGTGTCCCCGGCTGTCCAGGCTGTGGAGGGCGGTGTCTGCATGTGAGAGAGTTGCATGCAGGTGGAGCTGAGCGTTCCTTCCTGCGAGGCTCATGGCCAGCATCCCTTCAGCTGAGGTTGGCCTTCCTGCTTTGCAGAGTCCACATTTCTCTGCTCACCCTAAAGAGTCCAGATAAACAGCCTTCATCCTTTTCAAGTCTGGCCTTTCTAACTTGCCTCAAAAACAGCCTCTGCTTTTCTGCCCAAGTCCCACTTCCACTTCTGCTCAAATCAGAGGATACACTCGGAAGCCAGAAACATGCATGAAACTGATGATTTGTTTTTAGCAATGCTACTTTGCTCTTGATAATTTTGGCCTTAGGAGTTCTTAGTTTAGAGAGGAAATTGCGATGATGGAAAAAGAACCAGGCTGGAGCCAAGAGGCTGGGGCGTGGCCCACCAACTGCAGACAGTTGAGCACTTTCTGTGAGCCCTGTGTGCATGTCTGTATAATGGAATGATGACAGCACCCACCTGAAATGAATAGACAGTACTTAGCATGCTGCCTGGAACACAGTGATAGTAAATGTCATTTCTGATTTCATCATCCTTACTACTGTTGAACAATTCACCTCAAAGCTTAATTACTCCCAGTACTGAGTCTACATTTCAGTCTGAAGGTAATTAAAATCCACTTCAGCCAAGGGACCCTTGCTTTCAGTGAAACAGTAGAGGCAGCCCAGTATGTGGAGTAGACCCCACTCTGGGGGCTATGTTGCTCTATGTCTCCCACCAGCTCCCCAAGATGCTTGGGGAACCTCAGGACCCCAGAGGGTACCTCAGTGACCCTGTCAAGCAAACTCCCTCAAGCTAATCTTAGTGTACGTCTCCATCTTCCAGAGTTCTCCTTCCACCAGCCTCTTCCTGAGGTCCTTCCCTGCAAATGGAAGGACAGCTGCCTCTAGCCTGCCAGCACAGGAAATGAGTCATTCCTTCCAGGCTGCACCCAGCCCTCTGACAGCTCCCATCAGACCTGTCACATGTGGCCTCATCCTGGATTTGCTATGCACTTGTCCATGAGCCCACTGGGGCCTTCAGAAGCAAACATCACGTGTCTGTCTTTCCCCAGAAATGCCCCCAGAGTGCCTTGTATGAGGGAGGGGCTCAGTCCCTGCTTGGTGAATGGATATATGGTGAGACATCGTTACTCTGCTGACCTGGGAAGCTTAAGATCTCCAGTCTACTCTCGAGCAGATGTTTTCCCCCACAGCTAACTGGAAGAACTGAGTGAAGCATTTCCACCACACTCCTGGAGCTTCTTTCCAGTGCTGTAAGACAAGATTTCCTATGGAGCCTTCTGAGCAGCAGAGCTTCGTGGGACAGAAGGCCTGGAAAGCGACCAAACACAGGGGTGGTTTAGTCCTCCAATCAGGAGACAGCACATCTGCCCTGACGAGAACTCTGCAGGTGGGATGCCAAGGTCCTCCGAGGCCAGGTCGGCTCAGAAGCCTCTCTCTGTCCCTGTTCTTGCTAGCCCTAGGCCACCAGAAGGACCCACTGAGGAGGCCTGGTGGAGAAGACAAAGAGCAGCAAGGAGGATGAAGGTCTTTGACTCTCCCCCTGTGCAAAGTAACCATATAGATAGCATTAGGGTAAGGTGACTGAGAAAAAGAGAGAAGGGAAAAATGCATTCCTCTTGCTCAGTTACTTACAGAAGAACAAAATCTATTAAACCTATTTGTTCAAAAATATATACTGAGTCTTGCCGGATGCAGTGGCTCATGCCTGTAATACCAGCACTTTGGGAGGCAGAGGTGGGCAAATCACGAGGTCAGGAGATCGAGACCATCCTGGCTAACACATTGAAACCCCATCTCAACTAAAAATACAAAAATTAGCTACGTAAGGTGGCGGGCACCTGTAGTCCCAGCTACTCGGGAAGCTGAGGCAGGAGAATGGCACGAACCCGGGAGGCGGAGGTTGCAGTGAGCTGAGATTGCACCACTGCACTCCAGCCTGGGCAACAGTGTGAGACTCTATCTCAAAAAACCAAACTCTATATATGTGTGTATATATATATACATACACACACACAGACACATACACACATACATATATGTGTATATATGTATATGTGTGTGTATATACATATACATATATTTGTATATATGTATATGTGTGTGTGTATATACATATACATATATTTGTATATATGTATATGTTTGTGTATATACACATATATATATGCACACACATATATATACACACACACACACTGAGTCTTTCTGTGAGCCAGGTCTTGAGCCCAGTGTGGGGACAAAAAACGAAAGCTTAAGGCCCCTGCTCTCTAAGAGCTCACAGACTCAGCATTACTTCAATCTGAAGATGATTAAAAGTCATCCCTTTCACACTCCTTTAGCAGTGGGACCTGCCTTATAATAAATCCCTTCATTTATGGGAGGTACCCAAACAATTCTAGGACAACAGGCAGATGCTGGCGCTTTAATGGAGGTGTGTGCACAGCGTGTGTGGAGATGCTAGTCCTACCCCACGTCAGAGCTGGCTTGAGGGAAGAGCTACAGGGTGGAAGCTTCCAGGGCAGTAGAAGGCAAGGTGCTGCAAGGGATTTCCAGGCAGAGAGAGCATCCTGGGCAAAGACTTGGGAGCTGGGCGTGTTCTGGGAGGTCACGTGTTTTTAGGAGCAGGGGAAACCCAGGTTTCCATCCCGGCTGAGTGCACATGCGGCTCATGTAAGTTGTCCTAGCAGCCCACATGTCCCCTTTGTCCCTCTTACTCCCACTCACTTCCTTTTGGGATCTCCATGCCCCGTAGCACAGCTCTGCAACTGTCACCCAGCTGCTAGGGGAGCACTAAAGCTCTTACCAAAGCTACTGTCATGGAGACCCTGGGAGCCACTCCCCCCACTCGGAGCCATTCTCATTCACCTTCCCCTCCCCCTCCCTTCGCACCCCTGCTATAAGAGTGGCTCCGCTCACCCTTGACGTGTATTCAACTAGAGATTAGCACACAACTATTCCTTTGTTCAGCCGGATATATTTGATGCCTTAAGGGAAAGGAAATGCTGTATCATTGCAAAGGATAGAGAGATGAGAAAAGGCAGCCCCACAGAGCTCAGACCTGCGCTGTCATTCCCGAGACTGTGGGTCTTTTTCCACTTGCTGTTTAGAGGAGCTGGAGCCTGTACCTGAGCTCATGCACCTTTATTGACTTGTGCCGACCTCTCTTCCTCAGGGTTTCCCACTGCCCACATGTACCTGCACCCTGCATGGCCCACGCACACCTTCCCATGTCAACGTCCCCCAACCTTTCCCTCCTCAGATAAGCCATGTGAACTCTACTGCTCACCCCTCGGGAAGGAGTCCCCACTGCTGGTGGCCGACAGGGTCCTGGACGGCACACCCTGCGGGCCCTACGAGACCGATCTCTGCGTGCACGGCAAGTGCCAGGTGACGTACTTCTTCAGTCCTTGGTGGGGCTTTGGAGAAGAGACTCTCTCTCCCCATACAGGGAGTGGGGTAGAGCAGAGGTCTCAGAGGTCTCGGGGAGTGGATTTTCTTAGGAAGGCACCCAGCGATGCCGCCTCCTGCAGCCAGTGTTGCCTGGCGCACCACCCCTAGCTCAGTAATGACTGAGCGCTAGGCCAACAAGGAGTGGAGGTGGCTGAAAGAACAGGAGCAACATATTCTAAGACTGAAAATTGCTTTAGACATCATGACTAAGACGAAGGTAGGCAGGGTACTAAGATGCACCTAAAGGATGTCTGCACAGGCCAGGCTCTGTTTAGTGCAAAAGAGACAGCGGAACTGAGCCAACTCCTGTGTAGGTAACGCCAGGCAGACAGATGCGCCCAGCTGTCGGGGGGCACCCATCTACTGCTATATAGTCCCAAAGGCATTGAGGGCTGGATGGCCATGACTGGTTATAACAGTGATAAAAATCATTTGAGAAAAGAAAGAGAGGCTGGGTGTGGTGGCTCACGCCTGTAATCCCAGCACTTTGGGAGGCCGAGGCAGGAGAATCATTAGGCCAGGAGTTGCCTCGTCAACATGGTGAAACTCTGTCTCTACTAAAAATACAAAAATAAATTAGTTGGGCATGGTGACACGCACTTGTAATCCCAGCTACTCGGGAGGCTGAGGCAGGAGAATTGCTTGAACCTGGGAGGCGGAAGTTGCAGTGAGCTGAGATCGTGCCACTGCACTCCAGTCCGGATGACAGAGTGAGACTCCGTCTCATCAAAAAAAAAAAAAAAAAAAAAAAAGGAGGGTGGGAACACAAGAGGAAGGAAGGACGCTTGCCCTCCACCTATATTAACCCCGCCCAAGCTGGGGGCCACCTGTAGCCCTTAACCTCCCCAGCTGGGGCTCCTGGCCTGGGGTAGCAGAGGTGACTCTGTGCTCCCATTTTGTCCCTCAGAATGAGCACCTCCTGAGGTGATACAGCAGCTGGGATAGGGGGTGGGTGTCAAGAAGTTGTGTATTTTCCATGCCTAGAGGGGCGTGACACCTCACTTATGCTACAGGCACCGTACTCCCTGGTGACTTGGGTCAAGCTGGGCATGTTGTGAGAGAGCCCCAGCATCTTAGCTGGGGCATCTGTAACGACGCACCATACACCAGGCAGCTTATGAACAACTGACATTTATTACTCACAGTTCTGGAAGCTGGGAAGTCCAAGATTGAGGCATTGAGGCGCGGGCAGATTTGGGATCTGATGAAGGGTTGCTTATCACAGACAGCGTTTCTTGCTGTGTCCTCGCATGGTGGAAGGGGCTGGGGAGCTCTCTTGTGAGTCTCTTTCATGAGGGCCCTGATCCTGTTCTTGAGGGTTCTGCCCTTATGCCCCAGTCACCTCCCAAAAGATCCCACCTCCTAACACCATCACCTTGAGGGGTGATGATTCAACATATGGATTTGAGGAGACACAAACATTCAGACCACAGCACCCAGGGAGCCCTCTGCCCTCGCCACACACTCCTGTTCCCGTCATCCTATGGCCATGTTCCCTCAACTGTGTCCTCCACTGGGGACCCCACCAAGAGCTAGTGACGATGGCGGCTCCTGATGTCTGGAGCAGGCAGATCAGTGACAGGATCACCATGCATTGCCCTCACGGAACTGTGGTTGAGCCAGATGCTGGCTTCCAGGCGTCAGGTCCACTTGCCCATGTGGACAGCAGATCCGCTTACGCGCTTTGCCTGCTCAGTGCCTAGCAGAGTGCATAAGCATCAGTGTTTTAGTGTGCGTGACAAACAGAACAAGAGGAAGCAAGGCATAAAGACAGACACAGAGACAACTTCCAGGGTGATTGCTGCAGCAAACTGTTTCAACCCAAACAGATGTTTTTTTCCTGCTAAGGCCAAATCAGTCTGAAACTGGGATTTTTCAGGGAAAAGTTTGACAAGACCCAGACTCCTTTGGCACTGCCTGGCTGTGTTATCAAATACAGATAAGTGTGGGTGATAAGCGCCTGGTGCCCAAGAGTCTTGGCACACCAGCCTTACAGGGAGGGAGGTAGTGATGAGTGGTTGAGCCGGCCCCTCCTGGCTGCTTCCTTGTAACAAACAATGTCCAAGGCCCTGCCCCTCAGGCAGTATGGACAAAGCCCTTGTCGTTGTTACTGAAATGAGGCATTGCTGATGGTTCTTGGTGAACTTCTAAACAGCCAAGTGCAGGGCTGGTGTCCTTCCTAAATTACACACTTGCACAGACCATCCTGCCCAACGACTTAACGTTCCTCCCAAGTTAGAGTTCTTGTACCCTTTAGAGCAGCACCAGCCAAGCCACCCCCAGCTTCTGCCAGCATCTTCTGCAGCGTTCTTGCCAATGGGGAGGCATTTCTAAGAATCCTGAAATTCTCTAGCCAGTGGGGTCTGTGTTACTGGCTGGACATAGTTTCTGCTCTGTGTGATCTGTGTCAATGGGCCCCATCCATGACCTTGGTTTTAATCATAGCATTTTCAACTAGTGGATGTTCTCCATACTATGACAATGAAACCTTTAGTCAGTGGAATCAAAGACAAGATGCTGCTCAAGGCATTTGAATGGCCTAAGTCTGTAGTCATCAGGATACCATTGAGCCCAACCCTGTTCTGCACTTGGGTGTTATCTTAGTCAATTCAGGCTGCTCTAACAAATACACTAGACTGGGTAGCTTATAAGCAACAGATATTTATTTCTCAACGTTCTGGAGGCTGGAAATCCAACATCCAGGCGCCGGTGTTATTCGGTTCTGGTGAAGGCCCACTTTCATGCTGTAGACTGCTGCCACTCTGTGTCCTCACATGGCATAAAGAGAGCTAGTATCCAGGCATGGTGGTGTAGGCCTGTAGTCCTAGCTACTCTGGAGGCTGAGGTGGGAGGATCACTTCAGCCTGAGAGGCGGAGGTTGCAGTGAACCAAGATTGTGCCACTGCACTCCAGCCTGGGTGACAGAGTGAGAGGATATCTTAAAAAAAAAAAAAAAAAAAAAAAACCTTTTCTTGAGGCCAGGTGTGGTGACTCACACCTGTAATCCCAGCACTTTGGGAGGCTGAGGCAGACAGATCACTGGAGGTCAGGAGTTCTAAGACCAGCCCAGCCAACATGGTGAAACTCCATATCTACTAAAAATACAAAAAAATTAGCTGGGTGTGGTGATGGGCGCCTGTAATCCCAGCTACTCAGGAGGCTAAAGCAGGAGAATTGCTTGAACCCGGGAGGTAGAGGATGCAGTGAGCCGAGATTACACCATTGCACTCCAGCCTAGGCGACAGAGTGAGACTCCATCTCAAAAAAATAAAAATAAGAGAGACAGCTAGCTCCCTAGCCTCTTCTTACAAAGGCACCAACACATTCATGAGCTCTACCCCTTCTTGACCTAATTACCTCCCAGAGGCTTCACTCCCAAATGCTATCACATTGGTATGAACGGTTCAATTTATGAATTCGAGAAGACAAACATCCAGTCCATTGCAGATGTGATGGGAGTGACATTGGGGTGCACGCCTTCTTATTCCCAGACGGCACTCCATCCCCAGGACCAGCCCCAGTCTATCTCCAGTGCCTCCACCATTGTCATCATCATTGCAGGAATTGGCTGGCGCCTGCGCTGCGCCTCACATTAATCAAGTAGAGTCACCGGGGTGCGCAGGTGCAGATGGAAGCACCTTTCATGATGCTCGATGGTGGTCTCTTGTTCCTTGGCAGCCTTACCCTGCCACTGCAGAGACCCTGCCTGTCAGTTCTCGAAAGCACCATCTCCCGGGTAGCTGCACCCTGGTAACCCGCTGCCTCCGGGCAGTCCACCAGTCTTTACAAAAGAGCCACCATCCTGACAGGTGGCAACAGCACCTGCCTGCATGTACCTCTCCAGGTTAAAACCCTGAGAAACAACTTGCTTTCTAAAGGAAGTTAAAAAGCCATCTGCTATTCGTTTAACAGTACTTTCTTCGAACAGATACTGTAAAGATTAACCTCAGCCCACTCTTAAATCGATGCTCACAAAACTCCAAATTATTAGTCATAGTTAATGAACTTTTATAAAAATTGAGCATTCTTAAATAAGATCACAAATTCAATTCAGATATAGTACTTATGTCTTGTTGCAGTAATTGCCAAGATGGAACATTCTGGATTCCTGTGGCATTTGTGAATGCATAAAGCAAGAAAAAAATGGTTAAGAAAAATAATAGTAATTGTAATTTTAAAATCTCAGGGGCCTAATGAGTGGAGAGTCTGTATCCTTTGGTAATAGTTGTCTAATTACAATGGATTAAACATACAAATCACCCACATTTTATACGAGACAGCACTCACAGAAATATTGCTGCGGTTTGCCTACTAGCGTTTCCCCCTCTTTCCCCTTCAGCTATAAATTGTGCTATTTTGGGGTAACAGACGGCATTCTGGGAAATGTCGAGGAACATAGTAACTAGTTGGTAGGGGATGAGAGGCTTCAAAATGGCATTTAGAGTAGATTCCACTACGCTTCAAATAGCAGGCTGATTCAAACCATAACATGAAACATGGAAATACCATTTTATTCTGTTTTTATGAGGACTGAATTAAGTTTCATTTCAGTGAGTCACAAATTACTTAACATGCTGACATTAAACTTAACGGCACTCATAAAATTGGGAGGGAATTGGAGGAAGTAACACAAACATTGTATATTTTTCAGCAAGCCCCTATAAATCAAGGGTCCCATCATTAATGATTCCTACTGTTGGCCTCCAGAAGGAAAGAAACTGGGATAGTAAGTCTCTGATACACAACTGCATCTGGAGCTGCTGACATGCAAAGAGTGAGTCCAGCTGACACATAGCTTTGCCCGTTGGACGGTGGACAGACCCAAATGTACCTGAGACCCAGCTATGCTTGCCTTACTGGTTTGTGCACACTTGTGGCCAACATTCTCCAATTCAGTTCCTACTTCCTTGGTACTGTAATTTGTATACATATCCTGG